TTTCCCCTCCTGTGGGATTGTATTCTGCTTTGTAGGTTTTATAAGTTTATAAATTATTGTATTCATGTTCTCTATATCTGATAACTGTAAGTTGCTGTAACACAGCGAAGGTCATAAGAAATGCCCAAGCAGGCAGGATTCTGGCTTTCTGGGCACTGTAGCAGAAGGCAATAGCTAAGGCCTATGCTAGAATCCTTCAGCTCTACAGATAGCCAACATCTGGGTCACATAGTAACAGTCATTTGTAAGCCTAAATTAGGTGCCTATCATTGCTTAACGAATTGTCTTTGTTCTACACCTGCAAACTTGTTTTAGTGCCACTATGTACTTCATGTATAAAAAGCGAAGCCATGTCTTTGTTAGGGCTCAGCCTTGGGATGTTAATCCGCTGAGCTGGTGGCCATCTTAATAAAATCCTCCTGTTTCACCCATTGGTCTCTCCGGTCTCCTGAATGTTCTGCAGCAGGTCCAGAAAGCTGCCTTAGACTCTCCAGCAAATCTACAAACAAGGAATCTACAAACTCGTCTCAGATTTTGTCGACTCTGAGACAGGTCCTGGCACTAGGAATGTAAGGCTGTCTCTATTATTTTAGTTTGCTCCAGGGTGGGGTGCAGCTTATGCAAGGCTCCGATTGACCGTATATTTCATTTCAAGCTTTGATGTCTGGGCTGTAAAAATACAAAAAATTAGCAGGGTGTGGTCGCACGCGTCTGTAGTCCCAGCTGTTTGGGAGGCCGAGATGCGATAATCACCTGGGCTAGGGCAGTCAAGGCGGCAATGAGCCATGATCGCATCACTGCACTCCAGACTGGGCGATAGAGTGAGATATTGCCTCATAAAAAGAAAAAAAAATGAGTTATACATATTAAAACAATGAAAACATGCATAAAAAATTTATATTTGATGTTCCAAATAATAAACTGACAGCAAGTTTCCAGGTAAAAGGTTCCATATAAATAATTACCAGTGGCTTCCCTCTACAGGAGAAGTTATCAATAAAACAATGAAAGGGAAAACTAAAAGGCCCAAAAGGACTGAGTGAATGGAAAGGAGAGTCTGTTTCATATTAGAGTTGAAAATATATGTGTCCTGTGTACAGGGCTGTAGCAACATGGAGGATAGGTATAAACCCAACTGATGAGCATCCTGTATCCGTGGTAGCTGAGGACCTTGTTGGGAAGCCCTAACTTAGCCCCAGCCCCAGGCCTAGTTACTTAAGCCTCGTCCCTAGCCCTCGTCCCTGATCCCTAGGAATTTCAACCAAGTCCCGCCCCCAATCTGGTTCCACCTTTAGCCACGCCCCTTGGAGTATTTAGAAAGCCACGCCCCTAGGTCCGGTGTAGCTCCAGCCTCGCCTCGCCCACAGTCAGCCAAGCCCAGTCCCAGGTTCTGTTTCTTCTGTTTACTCTCAATAATGAAGAAACTAGGATTTCTCTACCGCTTGCGGCTAGAACCAGTCTTCACGCTCCTTAGCAGTCCCCGCTCCCTCCCGCCCCACCTCCTTGACCTCAAGTCCCGCCTCTCAGGCCCCGCCCCGTAGGACGTCTGTCGTGCCGAACTAGGAACCGAAGTCCGCGTTTGCGCATGCGCGAGCCGGCAGCCATGTCAATCAGCAACTCCGCCTGCGTCTGACGTAAATTTTTGCCTCCGTCCGCTTCCTGCCCTGCCCTGTCCCACCCCGCCTGCCGCGGGTCCGGTCCGCGGGAGACGTAGGGCTCTGCCTGAGGATCGGCGGTCTAAGGGCGGCCTCTCAGCCGCTCCCTGCCCTGACCCCGCGCCTGGGGCCTCCCGCAGCCGCTGTGCTTTCTCGGAGAGCCTGGGTCAGCTGCCCCTGCGGCTGCGGCTCGTCGCAAACTCCCGAATCGGGAACTCTGATCTGGATCCAGAAATCGGGGTGATTCTGATGCACGCGAGAGTTGGAGAACCAGTGTCATAGTTCATCAGCCTGTGAAAGCATCTTTTGCTCTTTCCAGAAAGGAAGAGCATCTCTACCCATTCGGGTCCCAAAGACAAGCGCCTCAGCCTCGTTCTCTGTGAGCAGATCTGTGGATCGCGGCGTGTCCGGTGAGCACGGGGTGACATTTGCCTCGGCTCGGTCCCCTCCTGTCCCCTCTTTATACATTAGATAGTGTTTGGGCCAGGCGCGGTGGTTCATGCCCGTAATTCCAGCACTTTGGGCTGCCGAGGCGGGCGGATCGCTTGAGCCCAGGAGTTTGAGACCAGCCTGGGCAACATAGCAAGATCCCCTCTATACAAAAAATAAAATAAAATAATAGCCGGGTGTGATGGTGTGCTCCTGTGCTCCCAGCTGCTGGAGAGGCAGAGGTTGCAGTGAGCTGAGATCCTATCACTGCACTCCAGCCTGGGCAACACAGCGAGACCCTGTCTCCAAAAAAAAAAAAAAAGATAGTATTTGGTCTCTGGATTTTATACTCTGCCTGTGGACATCAGTTTGATACATTATATCCCAGTAAAAGTGAACTGATGCATTTTATCATTAATGATACATTTGAATCATTTATCTACAGATTGATTACATTTCACACAGAAGATTTGGTCATCTGTCGGTTTCAATCTTTTCCCTTTTTATTCCTTGCAGTTTCCATTTGTTTTCATTTTCTTACTGCACTTGCCAGGACCTCCAGTACAATGTCCGACAGAATAGCATATAATTTACATCCTTGTCTTGTTTCTGATTCCAGAGGGAATTTTTCTACCATTTCACCATTAAATAGGATGTTTGCTGTAGGTGTTTGTAGGGTTTTTTTTTTCTTTATTTATTTCTATTTCTTTTTAGTAAAAAGGAGTCTCGCTGTGTTGCCTGGGCAGGTCTTGAAGTCATGGGCTGTCTGCCTGCCAAAGTGCTGGAATTACAGGCATGAACCGCACTGCACCTGGCCTGACCATGTTTTAAACTGCTGATTTTTTTTTCATTGATTACTGGATGTAATCAGGTTTTAGACCATAGCTGGAAAGTTGTACTACTTTCTAGAAATTCATTCATTACCTGTGCATTTTCATATTTATTCCTTAAATTTTTTCTATATTTTCCTTATGGTATCTATAATTATGATTTATTATTGTTCTTTTTTTTTTTTTTTTGTCTGCCCTGTTGCTCTTAAAATTGCTGAGTTTGGCTGGTCCGAGTGCATCGGTGTTTACAACTAATTGATCACAACCAGTTACAGATTTCTTTGTTCCTTCTCCATTCCCACTGCTTCACTTGACTAGCCTTAAAAAATAAAAAAAGAAAAAAAATTGCTGAGTTTGTTGCTGGCTGCAGTGGTGCACATCTGTAGTCCCAGCTGGTGGGAGGCTAAGGCAAGTGGATCACTTGAGCTTAGGAAATGAGATCAACCTGGGTAACATAAGGAGAGTCTGTCTCAAATAATAAATTAAATAAAAAATAAAATAAAGCTGAGTTTGTCAGTTTTATTAGTTTTTCTTTTCACAGGTTAGCTTTTCCAATTCTGTTTACTATGTTTTAAAAAATATTATCTTGTTCTATTTTCTTTCTAAACTTTTATGCTGGCCTTTATTCAACCTCATATATCAATAGTCTAGCCTATTAATACTGATTTTTATTTCCCTCTGGGAGTTGATAATGCTTACAAATAGATAATACATATACTAAACCCTCTGAATTTCCAGCATTATCTGAAACAATTATTTTAATTTTCTGCTTCTACCTTGCCACATTACCAGTCCTGTTGCTAAAGATAAATATGTTATGTGTCTCCTTATTCCTATAATGTATTACATTTTTTATATAGCTTGTATCTCTATATATTCATTTGCTTCAGGATTTTTCTGCTTTTTGTTTTTTCTGTCTGTGCCTTATTCCTTGTGACTTCATGTAGTAGGGTCAGGGTAAATATTACCTAAATAAATATAAAATGAAAGAGGTAAGGACTGTAAGGGAAGAATCATTGCCCAAGACATAGACCTTAGTCAGGAGAAGGAGCTCAAAGATAGCACATTTGATTATTTATTTATTTATTGACAGAGTCTGGCTCTGTTGCCCAGGCTGGAGTGCAGCAGCGCGATCTCAGCTCACTGCAACCGCTGCCTCCTGGGTTCATGCAATTCTCCTGCCTCAGCCTCCTGAGTAGCTGGGACTAAAGCTGTGCACCAGCATGGCTGGCCAATTTTTGTATTGTTAGTAGAGACAGGTTTCGCCATGTTGGCCAGACCAGTCTCGAACTCCTGACCTCATGTGATCCCCCTGCCTTGGCCTCCCAAAGTACTGGGATTACAGGCGTGAGCTACCACACCTGGCCAACATATTTAATTAGAATGCTTCATTTGTCCACTCTCCGGGGTGCCCAATAGGGTTCTAGGCTAAATCCTGGTAATACTAGGAATAAGGGGCTTACTAACAATTAAAATTTAAGGTATGTGTTCAGAAATGTACTCATTGGGTGTTTTTTTATTTTTTATTTTATAAGACAGAGTTTCACCATATTGGTCAGGGTGGTCTCGAACTCCTGACTTCAGGTGATCCCCCCGCCTCAGCCTCCCAAAGTGCTGGGATTACAGGCGTGAGCCACCACGCCCGGCTAATTGGGTGTTTTGAAGACAAATAGGCCTGCATTCATACCCTGCCTCAGCAGCTGTCTAACTAGGTAATATTGAACATGTGGTTAATTGACGCTTTCTAAGATTACTCAACTCTAAACTGGTTGTAATAATACTTGATTTGCAGAGTTTCTGTGAGAAAGATTCTAAAATGTGGCCATTTCTTTGCAAAGTTATTCTCACATCAGGGTTTCCCAGATGGCATATATTGCTACTAATACAATACAGTGAAGAATGTTACAATTTTTTATTGGCTTTTTTTTTTTTTTAAAAAATAGAGATGGGGTTTCTCCATGTTGGCCAGGCTGGTCTCGAACTCCTGACCTCAGGTGATTCACCCTCCTTGGCCTCCCAAAGTGCTGGGATTATAGGTGTGAGCCATCACGCCTGGCCTTTTATTGGCTTTTAAAGATGCTACTTGTTCCATTACAGTGGAAGTAACTGTTAACATATTCTTGTCTGAAATTTTTGAAACAGCACTGCAGATCCCGCATCAGGGGTGATACAGGCCAAGTATTCTTATTCTGATACCAGTGTACTGGGCAGGCAAATTTAGCATGTCCATCACAGCATAGTGGCCTTCTCTGCCTCTTGCATATGGAATTCAAAAGGCTGATTTTCTTTCTCAGAAACTAAGGTTTTGGGGAACCCTGCAGCTCATGGGGGCAGGAGCAGGGGTCTAGGGCTAAGCAGTAATACCGCCTAGCCAGCCAAGGGGTGCAAAAGTAAGAAATACTGGGAGTAGAACTCCCAGAAGCCTGGCCTATAAATCAGTGCTTTCTTGAATTTCAGACAGGGAGTGTATATTCATGTTGTTGAAGATGCTCCCTAATACATTTTATACTTTTTGTTATCATGGGCAAATTGACAGTCAGACTTTTCTAGACTTTAGTTAATTTACAAAATAGCACTCTTAAGCTCTTCTTTATGATCACCATGGACCAGAACACTGTTTTCTATCTCTACGGGGACATAAGGCTGTTCCACTTTCCCATAAGAGCAGTATATATTTGCTTGGGTGTCTTGGTTGTGTGTGTGTGTGTGTGTGTGTGTGTGTGTGTGTTTTGAGGGGAGTTGTTACTTATAATTGATGGGGTACAACATCCAGGTTCATGAGTGTGGGAATTTTAGGGAGGTTTGGAGTCTCATGTCATCTTTACTTCTAACTTCTCAATATCCTGCTTTTCTTCATGCAGGGGACATGGAGGAAGAAAGAACAACTGCTGAGTTACAGAAAAATAGGATACAGGTAAGTAAAAGGTAATAATTGTCAAAAAATTTCCATTGCACCAGATCTCCTTCCATGTTTTAGAGCACAGGTCAACAGCAATCTGTTTCTGCATTGGACCACATAGTATTTTAGGCACTGAAGGCTGTAGTGTTTCTATTACAATTTAGCTCTGCCGTTTGAGTGCAAAAGCAGCCATAGACAGTACATAAACACATGTTTTATTGTGTTCCAGTAAAACTTGATGCATTCAAGTGGCAGCTTGGATGTGGTCATATGCCATAGTTTGCTGACCCCTGGCCTAGAAGACAAGGAAGTATAACCAGCTGTGGGTCTGGCTTGAAAGTTGTGCTTGTGCAGCTCCTGGGCCTCTCAGGTTTGTGAGAAGGGGAAAAAGTGAAAAGCTTCTATTCTCTCAGTGTATTTTTATTCATTAAAACCCCATCTACATTTGACCCTGTGTTTAATGTTGTAGTGATTGCTATGGTGGGAATAAAGTAACAGGTGAAGTTATTTCTGTAATAAGGAATTGATGATGTCAATGTGGAAATTATTTCATTTCCAGAGCATTTCTCTCACTTCTTCAATATGCTCTGGACTTTTCTAGGCCATTGTAAGACTGGCATTGGTCACCCTCTGTGATATTGTGAAATATGTGTTTGGCTTTCATCCTGTTCCCTGGCACAGAGTTCCTAAAAACCCTTGTAATCTCTGGAGCAATAAGACAGTCTTTTGTGTGCTAATGAGATGGTTGGTGTCTGGAAGCTCCTGGAGAGCCTTAAGATGGGGGCTGTTTCAGAAAGACCCAGGCAAAGTCAGAGGATTGGGACTTAACATCAACCATGTGATGGAGCTTGTGGATAGCTGAATGTGTGGTGGTTCCTGGGGGGTGGCATGCCAGGAGAGGGCATGGAATTTCTGTACCCCTTTCCACTATACGTTGGCCTGTCCATCTCTCCTTCTGGCTGTTTTATCTGTATACTTTGTAATATCCTTGCTGACAAACCAATAAACATATTTCCATGAGTTCTGTGAATTGTTCCAGCAAATTAACCGAACTCAAGGAGAGGGTAGTAGGAGCCCTCATTTTAGCCAGTCAGAAGTATAGTTGACAACCTTTTAACTTGGGATTGGCATCTGAAGTGGGAGGCAGTTAAGTGGGACCAAGCCCTCAACCTGTGGGATCTCCAGGTAGATCATATCAGAAAGCGAATTATAGGATACCCAGCAGGTGTCCATTGGGGAATTGCTTGGTGGGTATGGAAAATATCCCACCCACAGCTAGTGTCAGAAATGTTCTATACGGTACTGAGTGACTATGTAAGAGGGTAGGAAAAACACTGTTTTGCCCTATCTCATTGCCATCAATTTGTAGGGAGATAAATTTAGTGTTTTTTTGTTGTCATTGTTCAGGCTAGAGTACAGTGGCATGGTCATGCTCACTGTAGCCTCAACCTTGCGGCTCAACGATCCTCCCACCTAAGCCACCACAGGCACACGCTACCACACCTGGCCATATGTACTTTTAAATTTTGGCAGAGACTGAGTCTCACTATGCTACGTTGCCTAGGCTGGTCTCGAACTCCTGGGCTCAGGTAGTCCTCCTACTTCTGTCCCCAAAAGTGCTGGGATTACAGGTGTGACCCAATTTGCCTGGCAATTTAGTGTTTTAGAAGTGTTAAATCTGTAAGTCAGGATTTGATCAGTGATGAATTAGTGTAGATAGAAAGAGAGAGAGATTTGTTGACTGAGTCCTAGAGTAGATGCTGGGATCTCCTGAATTTCCTATGAATTGGCTCTCATTTCCTCAATATTGTCAGCCTCATCCGTCCTCTTGTACACATTGGAGGAATTGTACCTTTCTGAATAGAATTTATGGTATATTTTAGGACTCAGTAGTCTTTGAGGATGTGGCTGTGAACTTTACCCAGGAGGAATGGGCTTTGCTGGATCTTGCTCAGAGGAACCTCTACAGAGATGTGATGCTGGAAAACTTCCAGAACCTGGCCTCGCTAGGTAAGAATGGCAAGATTTTTTCATGTAGTTGTTTAGAAAGTGATTTTAGGCCGGGTGTCCCTGGTGGCTCACACTTGTAATCCCAGCACTTTGGGAGGCTGAGGTGGGTGGACCACGAAGTCAGGAGTTTGAGACCAGCCTGGGCAATATGGTGAAACCCTGTCTTTACTAAAAATACAAAAATTAGCTGTGCATGGTGGTGCACGCCTGTAGTCCCAGCTGCTCAGGAGGCTGATGCAGGAGAATCTCTTGAACCAGGGAGGCAGAGGTTGCAGTGAGCCGAGATTGCACCACTGTACTCTAGCTTGGGCGACTCAGCAAGATCCCATCTCAGAAAAAGAAAAAAGAAAGTGATTTTCTCTCACCAAATTGACTTTATTCTAGGATTTGGGCTGAGGGATGGGAAGACATTAGTAAATAAGACAGATATAGTCACTGACCCCAATGAACTTATACTCTAGTGGCTTCGCTATGAAAATAAACATTTGGGCTGGGTGCGGTGGCTTTCGTCTGTAATCCCAGCACTTTGGAAGGCTGAGGCAGGTGGATCATCTGAGGTTTGGAGTTCCAGACCATCCTCACCAACATGGAGAAACCCCATCTCTACTAAAAGTACAGAATTAGCTGAGCGTGGTGGTGTATGCCTGTAATCCCAGCTACTCGGGAGGCTGAGGCAGGAGAATTGCATGAACCTGGGAGGAGGAGGTTGCAGTCAGCCTAGATTGTGCCATTGCACTCCAGCCTGCACAACAAGAGTGAAACTCTGTCAAAAAAAAAAAGGAAAGAAACATCTGTATATTGAGCTGATGCTTTCTTTTTTTGTGTGGTTGAAAGTCTTGAGGCTTATTAAGTATTGAAAGTATGCGTGTAAACCTCAGCAATCACTATGGGACACAGGAAGGAGGTTTGTAGTTTTGACATTTTGAGGATTTTACTGCTATCTATGCCCTTTACCCAATGACTACCAGGAACACATCTATAGTTAAATAAGTTGGGTTTATTTTGCAGTGCAGCAAGGGAGAATACATGTGTTAGAAAGAACCCGTTTTAGGATTTGTGCTTCAGTTGAGTGATTTGGGGATAGATCTATGGAAGCAGTCTGTGTTAGTTTCCTAGACCTTCTGTAACAGAGCATCACACACTGGTGGCTAAAAACAACAGATGTTTTTTCCTTCGCAGTATTTCTAGAGGCTGGGTATCTGAAATCAAGGGATCAGCAGGGCTGTGTTTTTTCTGAAGGCTCTGGGGGAAAGACTCCCTTTTCTCTTCCTGGCTTCTGGGGATTGCTGGCAATCATTGACATTCCTTGACTTACAGATGCATCATTCCAGTCTCTGCCTTCATCTTCTTCCTGTGTGTCTTTCTAAGTCTCCTTCTCCTTATAAGGACACCAGCCATTGGATTTAGGGCCCACCTTAACCAAGTATAACCTTGTGTTAACTTGATTATATCTATAAAGACCCTATTTCTTTTTTTTTTTTTTTTTTTTTTTTTTTTTTTTTTTTTTTTT